GGCCCCCCCCCCCCCCCACAATTGTGTGAAAAAATGGACACCCTTTTGTAAGGGGTTATGTACCCCTAGAATAATTCTTTGCACATATTCAAAGTCTGGACTGATTTGCGCCTTTCAGAATTATCTTCTGTGTTGCTGAATTATTATCTGTTCCTATAGTCTTCTAAATTCTTTTTGATTCTGTTAAATATATTGTACACTGTTATGTTTACTATTAGTGCGAGATTGCTGCTAAATTAATGTTCTATTGGTAACTGAAGGTCCTGGATCTGTTTGCTTGGTTGAGTTTTCTAAATTAATGTGTGGTCGAAAATGATCTGTAGAAAAAAGAATTTAAAAAGAATGGGAATCAAACAGCGATTTAGTGTTGGAATCTACGAGTTTTGATTTCTAATGTTTCTGAATTTTGGTTTTCTGTTTCTGAAGATTAACTAAGGAGTTCTTGGTAAGACTTGGGTGGCAAAAGCTGAAGTCTCTTTCTTCCCAAGATACACGACATCATTTTTGAAATCCCAAAATTTGCACTTATAAGCACAAAAACCTGTGCCCTCAACTCTTTTAAGAGATGAGTAAAATGCACTTACATTCATCATCATCAAGTATACACTGTTACCAATAGTCATGGCAAGAACACAATCCTTGCTGGAAAAAATGGAACCGGTTATTATCCCGAACAACAATTTCTCGATCATATATTTTGGAAACCATTTTAGCGAAAGAGTGGCAGTCAGAACACATCCGGAGATTCTTAACAACTCGTATAGGTGTTCTGTGATCTGAATGGATCAGCCCGAAGGCAATGGCTTGTTTCTCGCTGTGTTGGCTCAGCAAGAATTCTTTCTCTTGTTTGTCTATGTCCTGCAAAACATTTGTTAGATCAGGGACATATCCAGAATCTCTTAGCCTACAGTTCATCTCCTGTAGCATTGAGTCAGTTAAGGCATTCTCTGGATGGGATTCGGCATCCGAAGTGAATTCGTGAACGACTCCATTTAACTCGATTGAGCTTGAACCGGGGACTTTTTGAATTCCTTTTTCTTTCATGTGCATTCTCACATTCGCCACATCTCTCCATTTGCCAGCAGAAGCATAAATGTTCGATAGGAGGACTTGAATTCCAGTTTTTTCCTTAGCAGACTCGGATAATATCTCGACTACATGTGTTGCCATCTTTTCGTTTTTGTGTATTCTGCAGGCAGCTAAAAGAGCCCCCCATATGGCATCACTAGGCTCCATTGGCATGCACTTTATGATATCAAGAGCTTCATCCAATAAACCAGCTCGACCAAGCAAATCAACCACACACCCGTAATGGACAATTTGTGGAGTGATTCCATGACTTCCCTTCATATTCCGAAATATATCCATTCCTTGTTCAACTAATCCTGCGTGGCTACATGCTGTAAGTACTCCCACGAAAACAACTTCATCGGGTTTCACCCCTTGCCTGAGCATCTCATAGAAAAGCTCGACTGCTCGTACCCCATTTCCTCCCATAGCCATTGCTCCTATAGCAGCAGTCCAAGCAGAGACATCCTTCTCCTTCATTGTTTCAAACACTTCCATTGCACTTTGAGGATCCCCACATTGTTTAATTTCTTGAAGATTTTTGCAAGATTTGAGTGACCCTTTTTTGGAATTGGAGTTAGTTGAAATTGGTTCTGGTTTGATTTGGATTTGGGTAGTCAGAATGGGAATGGCTGTTGTGGTAGAGATGGTGGCGATGGCCATTGGCGTTTCAGCTGTGTATGGAATAATTTACAACCATCAGCTGAGAGTACCAACTGTTTGTTGAATGGTTTAAGGTGGACGGTTTTAACTAACTTTAAACTGAAACTTCCTCGCGGGCGTTTTCTTTATGTTGGAAAATCGAGTGGAGGCCTATTGTGGGTTTGAAATTTGAATGGTAGGAATGCTATCAGCATCATCGACGAGCAACAATCATATGCTTTTAGATCGTAGATTCACTTAAATGCAATACCACCTTATTTATTTAATTGAATTTATCAAGTGTCATCACTTAAATTAGTGCTAGATATCATTATTCTTGAATGGAAAGGAAGCTAACTCGAGTAATAGGATCGAACTTGAATCAATATGACTTTTTACTGAGAAAATAAAAACATGACTTTTTGACAAGTATGCATATTTGGCTATTGTACACTTTTTAGTATTTTTTAAATTATATATATATATATTATGGGCTGAGCTGAACCCATGAGTTGAGCACAAGTAAATTTTTCGAAAGATATTTTATAGAACTTTCCTTTTTATAGGCTTGGGATTGACAACCTTTATTGTAGGCGGAGTTAAAATTATACAAAAAAAACTTATTACATGGACAATTTTTAAAAGGTAAATAATATTGAACAAATGATAATTTATGAAGAACTCAAAGCTCATTTATCTTAACAGATAGTATTTAGAAATATTTATCTTGAATTGAAACTCTATGGCCAGTGATTGATTTAGGAGCTCGAATGATCACGAGCGGTCGTTGATCGTTGATGATTGCAATAAAAATCAAATACATATATATTATCTGTTTGGTTCCCATTCTTTTATCATTAAAATGAAAAATATGACCGTTATCCATCACATCAAACCAACAAATTTGAATTTCTATTTCTTGTGTGGGGTCCATAATGATTATATTTTTCATTCTCATTCTTCCAAAATAATTATTTTTTTCATTCACATTCTTCCAAAAATGAAGAACAAACGGGGCATAATTATATTTTTGTTACACTTGATTTTAATATTAATCAAATGCTATGGTGGTTGAGTATTCCAAAACTTCAAAGAAGAGAGTGGTTCGAATCTTTTCCATTGCACTAGCCTTATTAACCAAATATCTATTATTTTACTAAAACTGAACATATAAACATACTAAAATCCTCCGGATGTCGTAGTGGCCAAGCTTTCATTAGTTCAATTGGAGATCATAGGTTCGAATCTCTTCAATTACATTGGTTTTAATAACAATACTTCAAAAATGATGGAAAATTTTAAACTAGGGTTGGACAAAACTCTCAGATTGAATCGAACCGAGCGGTTCTTCTTAAATTAAATATTTGAACGGGTATCTGAACTAAGAACTAAAGGGTTCGATTCTCAGTTCTAGATCAAGAACCGAATAAGAGCCGTATTTTCCTAAATTTTTTAATTAATTTATTTTAAATAAGTCAAATTATTTTATTTATTTTAAATAAATTTGCTAACTAGTTATTTAGTTCAAATCCAAAAATAGGATTTTTCCTATTTCTAATTTTCAATTTAAAGCTAACTTAATCAAATTGATTTAAGTTTTATCCAAATTTATTACTCTATCGTATTGTTGTTTATATCGTTCTAGAGAAATCGAATTGAAGATCCACAATGCCTCTCTTAATTATTTTAAAAGGGTTATCTTCATCTTCCTGTGATTTTAACAATCAAATTTATAAAAAACTCGACAAAGAGAGACGCAAAAAACACATAAAATTGAATTACGTTATTTTATAAAAGTTAAAATTGAACATATTATTAGTTGAACTAATGTCGCTTTGTAAATATTAAAAAAATTAATTATAATATGGAATTGAATAGAACCGAACCCGAATTGTTACATAATTAAACTTGGACCCGATTGTTCCACTTACTAAATACCCGAAAATTTTGGGTTGGTTCGGTTCTCGTTGGAACTGAACTGAATTGGATTATGACCAGACCTATTTTAAACTAAGATAATGAATTAAAGGATTGCTCTCGTAATCGGATCATGTCCAGACCTATTTTAAACTAAGATAATGAATTAAAGGATTGCTCTCGTAATCGGATCATGTCCAGACCTATTTTAAACTAAGATAATGAATTAAAGGATTGCTCTCGTAATCGGATCATGTCCAGACCTATTTTAAACTAAGATAATGAATTAAAGGATTGCTCTCGTAATCGGATCATGTCCAGACCTATTTTAAACTAAGATAATGAATTAAAAAGATTGTTCTTGCAAAGAGTCGAATTGCTAACCTCCTATTTGTTAAATGAGTTTCTTACCAAGTTAATTGAAAACACATGAAACTATCAATTATATATCCAAACAAAATATACACTAATACCCACAAGTGTATATATATATATATATATGTCGGCGGATACAGCACAGACGCTGCTAGATCTGTTGCTGTTTGCGGCTTCCTAATCCTTTATACACGTTAAAACTAGACACAAGTCTTCCAATATCATTCTGCTTGTTAAGGTAGTGATGGATATACTTTGTTGAACAAATTTTTTGCACATTTCAAAACAAAAAGTTTTAAAGAGAAAATTTAATTGACACGTGAGATATTAAAGTGCCAGGGTTTCACAAAAAACGGAGAGAACCTTTTTTTAAATTTTTTTGTTTTATTTTTTATTTTTGAGGGAAGAAGATGTAGTGGGGTGGGATGGGGTAAAAATTAAAGTTTCAAAGATTTTGGATTGTAGGTGTCACGTACAAAAAGAAATTAATTTAATTTGCTAAACACTAAAAAGTTTGGGTACTAAAATTGCAATTATTCCTTTTTAATTTTGACATTTTTTTTTTTACTATTTTTAATAACAAATCTAACGGGTAAGGATTTTCTGCTATCCATCCATTTGTGCAACATTTGGAAGGTTTGGACCCAAAAAAATAAAATAAAAAATACAATCTAGACAAATATTCGGGACCATTACCACCAAGTTCCTTTAAAACTAGAAGAAATTACGTGATAACCTGGAAAGATAATGAGCAACAACAAAAGCAATGTTTTGATGTCCTTGAAACGAAATTACCTGTAATGGCATTGCTATGGAAAATAAATAAAGTTATTTTAAATAACTTTTGTTTTTTAATATAATTGAATAACTTTAAAAAATAAATAAATTTATTTTTAAATAATTTTTGTTTAAATATAATTGAATAACTTCAAAAATTATTTATTTTGAAATATTATTAACTTTACTGTCAAAATTATTACTTTACTTATTCTTTTAGGGTAAATACTATATTTAGTTCCTCAAACCTTTTATGGAAGTTTCAATATTAGTTTTTACTATTATTCCCCACATTTTTGTTCCCATTATAAATTTTCAGAATTAGTCTCCAATACGAGTTTCCATCCACTTTATCGTTAGAAAGTCACGTGACCTGGACGTATCTTTTTATTAAATGGTAAAATTGTCAACCCATTTAAGGCGTTCGATAATGATTATGAGAATTGATTTTTTGATCGTTGGAGAGAAAGTGAGTCCCATCTGTAAGTGAAAAGTTAAAAATGACGATTGAAATAGTTAAATAATAGTCAAAAAAATTGATACCAAATAGGGGCTTAATATAAGATTTTCTTTACTTATAAGTAAACTATAAAGCGTAGCGAACCATTCTTTTAGCCTTTTTTCTTATTTTCGCTCATCTTGTGATCAATTCATATATGAAGAAGAGTGATAAATAATTTAGCCTCCGTTTTTATAAATTAAGTTAAAATCAAATATTAGTTTTAACTACAAATTCATTACTATTACTCATTATTATTCACAAATTTCGAAGGATCCACTATTGTTCCTATTTATAAATCATTTATAAATTTGCCAAATGAAAGCTTATAAAATTTTATTTTTTGCTATTGGATCACAAGTTCACAACTCAATTTTGCATTAAAGAGAAATGAAATCCTTTAAAAAACGATAATTTGGAGGTTGTTGGATTGCAATTCTTAGGACTAAATTCTGATAATTATTAATGTTTAATGAAAAAATTACCTGAATTATATTTTTGAAGTTTTAATTTCATTAATTAGGCATAACTATTTCCCCAAAAAATTATAAATTTGTTAATTTTAGAATTGTATTATTAAATTATTGTAGTCAAGAAATTTTTTGCCATAATAAAACTTGAATGGACTGTTCCAATATTGGGCCTCTCGTGTAATAATCAAATTTTAGTGGACCGAACCAATCTGACAAGAGTTGAATAGACTCGCCATTAGAGATTGGATTGCCAAGGTTCGTTGGAACACTTGGTAATCCCAATTAAGCACATGTTTGAACCCTATTTTTCTAGAAAGAAAAATGCATTTCTTAATCGTATTATAACCTTATCTTAATCATACAATTTTTTAATAAAATAATATTACACACAAATTCAAATGAGGCTCTAGCAACCCCCAAGTGGAAATTACATATTAACAGATATTTAAGTTTTCCAAATCAAAAATCATGTTCGAATTTCGTTTAACCAAAAATTAGGTATTAATGTTAAGGGAATAAATCTCACATTAGTTAAATACCGAAATATTGACTAACTTAAATAGATCTTGGACCACTCCTTTTAAAAAGGTTGACCTTATTAAGATGGACCCCAAGTCTTTACATGGTATCAGAGCCCAGTAAGCTCCAATGAGCTATTCGATCCGATTAAGTCTCAAAAATGAGCATACGAGTTTCAAGATTTGTCTGCTAAAAAAGAGCCACCATCTTGCGCGAGCATGTTAAGGGAATGAATATCACATTAGTTAAATACTGAAATATTGACTAACTTAAATAAATTTTGGACCACTCCGCTTAATAAGGTTGACCTT